GATCTGGGGACTTGGGTGGCTCAGTGGTCTCACCCAGTCTCCCCTGACACACGTCTGTCCGGCTCATGTCCTCACAGATGAACTGGGGCTCAGCACAAAACTCCTGGGGGGATGGGGATTCCAGGCCTCAGCCAGCGAAGGGCGGGAAGGAGCAACTAGGAGGTCAGGTGCCTGGGTCCCCTCCTGCCTCATTGCTCCAGAGTAATGAGCGTCTCCAACCCCATGAGAGGCTTGTAAAGCCTTCGGGCAGGCGGTAGGCTTCTCCTGACCTTCCTGGACCCAGGGTGGTTGAGCCTGCTCTGAGCTGGTCCCACAGTGATCCTTCCTCCCTCAGACACAGGGGCCCAGGCCCCAGCCCTCCTCCCTCAGACCCAAGAGTCCAGGCCCCAGCCCTCCTCCCTCAGAGCCAGGAGTCCAGGCCCCAGCCCTCCTCCCTCAGAGCCAGGAGTCCAGGCCCCAGCCCTCCTCCCTCAGACACAGGGGTCCAGGCCCCCAGCCCCTCCTCCCTCAGACACAGGGGCCCAAGCCCCAGCCCTCCTCCCTCAGACACAGGGGTCCCGGCCCCCCGCCCCTCCTCCCTCAGACACAGGGGCCCAGGCCCCAGCCCTCCTCCCTCAGAGCCAGGAGTCCAGGCCCCAGCCCTCCTCCCTCAGAGCCAGGAGTCCAGGCCCCAGCCCTCCTCCCTCAGAGCCAGGAGTCCAGGCCCCAGCCCTCCTCCCTCAGAGCCAGGAGTCCAGGCCCCAGCCCTCCTCCCTCAGAGCCAGGAGTCCAGGCCCCAGCCCTCCTCCCTCAGAGCCAGGAGTCCAGGCCCCAGCCCTCCTCCCTCAGAGCCAGGAGTCCAGGCCCCAGCCCTCCTCCCTCAGAGCCAGGAGTCCAGGCCCCAGCCCTCCTCCCTCAGAGCCAGGAGTCCAGGCCCCAGCCCTCCTCCCTCAGAGCCAGGAGTCCAGGCCCCAGCCCTCCTCCCTCAGACACAGGGGTCCAGGCCCCAGCCCTCCTCCCTCAGAGCCAGAACCCAGCCCCCAGCCACACTTTACATGGGGCCTCATCCATTTCACTCCTTTGGCCTTCTCTGAGTCTGGCCCCAGCTGGTCATATCCAAGGGCATCAGGGCCAGCAGGGAAGTAGGGATCACGGAACAGGATCCCCTCATCCAGGCAGGCTGCTTGGATTGCCTCATAGCTCTGGCCTCTAAAAAGCTTCGGGTCCTGGGCTCCAGGTCCTGCCTCCTCATCCACCAGCTGGATGGTGACCTTCCCACTGCCACACGCCATCTGGACGCTCTGGGCTCACAGGCTGGCCCCAGGCCCTTTAACCTCTTGAGTCACGGAGGTGGGGCTTCCCCGCCAATTGGGCCCCGATGGGGGTCTTTACGCAGTGAGAAGCCTTCCCTCATTAACACTAATTGATGGTTTGGGGTGCAGGGGAGCATGGACGCCTCTTCAGTGGTTTCCTTCCCAGGGCGTGGGGCCTTCAGTTGTGGCCAGGAGAGCAGCTTAATGGGCTTGGCCAGCAGCGGGAGAGGAGGGCAGAGCTGAGGGAGGACCGGCTGCCAATGTGGGAGATCCTAGAAGGAGGTCAGTGTGGGGGGTATGTTTCTGCCAGCTTATCCCAGCGTGTCCCTCTGTGGGGCTGGGAGGGCAGTGTGTCTGCTGCTCCCCTCTCTCCATCTGACATTTTCTCTCTGCCTGACATTGTATCTCTTCTCCATCTCACTCTCTCTGTCCATCACTCTCATCTCCTTCTGTCCTTTTTTGTCTTTGTATCTCTCTTGTCTCCATCCCTCTCTTTTTTGTAAACACCGATTTTCTTTCTTTTTAAATATATTTTTATTGACTTCAGAGAGGAAGGGAGAGAGAGAGAGGAACATCAATGATGAGAGAGAATCATTGTATGGCTGCCTCCTGCACGCCCCCTACTAGGGATCAAGACACTTCAATAAAACCTCTTTCCATTTTCACCAGCACGTGCCCTTGGTCAGAATCGAACCCAGGACCCTTCAGTCCGCAGGCTGACGCTCTATCCACTGAGCCAAACCAGCTGGGGCCATCCCTCTCTCTCTCTCTATTTCTCATTGTGCCTATCTTGTGCATGCCTCACTGTCTGTGCCTCTTCATCCTTCTTTCTCTCCTTGTAACGCCTCAGTCATCCACAGCGGGACCTGAGCCATCGGGACGCCCATCTCCTGCCCTCCCGACAAGGCAGGCCTCAGCTTGGCTGCCCCAGGCAGGGCTAGCAGTGGAAGGCTGGCTGCTCTGGGTTGAGAGGGGGGCCCACCAGGGACCATGATACCCTGCAGAGCCCACAACGGCTCAAGGTCTCCTTTGGGGGAGCAGTATTTCCCCAAAAGGGTGCTGGGACCATTGGAAATGGGCAAAAGAAAGTGAGCAAAATAGTTCTGAGAGACTAGGAATTCAGCAGTTTTTGTCCCAGCAAATCTTCTGCCTTCAGCACAGGTCTCCTGCCCTGCAGGACCCGGTCACCTCTGTGACACCCAGATGCCCCTCACCTTTCCTTCCAAATGGACCAATAGACACTCTGAGTCCCTCCACTGTAAGGCCACCAAAAGGGTTATAAAACAGGCTTTCTTCCTGTAGACTTGTCAAGACCACCCCCACCTATGTGAGGCAGGTGACAGTGGTAGAATCCAGACTCTACCACTTGGGTAAGTCACTTAACCGCTCTGTGCCTCCGTTTCCTCGTCTCTATTATGGGGGTAATGATAGGACCTGCTTTGGAAGATTGTTGTGAGAAGCAAATGGGTTAATATGCGGGACACATTCAGAGCTGTGCCTCAGTAAGCATCAGATGTGATGGGGACACATTCAGAGCCGTGCCTGACGCACGGTAGGTGCTCAGTAAGCATCAGATGTGATGGGGACACATTCAGAGCCGTGCCTGACGCACGATAGGTGCTCAGTAAGCATCAGATGTGATGGGGACACATTCAGAGCCGTGCCTGACGCACGGTAGGTGCTCAGTAAGCATTGGATGTGATGACTGCGTACTGAGGTCCCATCCGTGGGTACCTATCACCTCTAGCCCCTGTTTCTGCCACTTCCACAGTCACCTGCTCCATCCCATTATCAGTTCACATTCCCACCCTAGGAGGTCACAGCCATCTCCCCTTTTATTTGCCCCAAAGTACCACTCGCAGTAGGAGGAAGTTTTTAATAAAACCTGTCTGACATCTTGCAGTAACCAGGAAAGAGCTCCTTGTCAAAACTGCCTGTCATGCCAAAACAGGTTTGGCTTAGTGGATAGAGCGTCGGCCTGTGGACTGAAAGGTCCCAGGTTCGATTCTGGTCAAGGGCATGTACCTGGGTTGCGGGCACATCCCCAGTAGGAGGTGTGCAGGAGGCAGCTGATCGATGTTTCTCTCTCATCGATGTTTCTAACTATCTCTCTCCCTTCCTCTCTGTAAAAAATCAATAAAATATATTTTAAAAAAACAAAACAAAAAAAACTGCCCGTCACATCACAGGCCTCTGGCCCACGGCCTTCTGAGCGAGCCTCTCCTGCCTCCTCTGCAGCCCTCCTGGCTTCTGCTCCTCCCAGCTGCCTGCTGGCTGCCAAGTTACAGGGCTCTGGTCACACCTCGCAAACAGGGTTCTTTTGATCCTCACTCCCATTAGCACGCCTGACATGCTGGTGTGACAGTGGGAACTCTAAGGATTGTTTCTGTAAATGCGGACTCTGACTAATAAGCAGCTTGTAAGTAAACAGCACGTTTGTATCAGAATCCTAGGGACTAACTTCAGAAGATGCAGACTCGGACCTTCTGTTGTCCCAGTTCCGGGAGATTTGCTGACCTTCAAACATGGAGCCAGGATGACATGGAGCCAGGATGACATGGAGCCGGGATGACGTGGAGCCAGGATGATGAGCACAGGATGACATGGAGCCAGGATGATGTGGAGCCAGGATGACGTGGAGCCAGGATGACGTGGAGCCAGGATGATGAGCACAGGATGACGCGCACAGACGTCACCACCGGGTGTGCAGGTCCTTATCGGAATGGATGCTCTGGCCTGCGTGAAGGGAACCCTCCAACCCTCCCCTTGGTCTCTGTGTTGTGCTTTCCCTCTCTCTCCTCATCAAACCGCTGCCTGCACTCAGACAGGGAGATGGGCTTTGTGACAAGAGTCCCCCATCTCCTCGGTGACTGACACTTGAATAAAACCTCTTTCCATTTTCACTACCACTTGGTTTGCAGGGTTGGCAGGCAGCAGAACCTGGCTCCGGTTACACTGTGTCCCACATACGCCTTCCCGGGCCAACGTGAGAAAAGGTGCTGATACGTTGTACGGGGTGTCTGCTGCTCTGCGAGCCCAGCATCCCCTGCCTCTTTTTCTCGAATCACCCCTCACCCCTCACCCCCATATGTTTTCAGGATCCACCTTATTCTCAAGCCATGCAGCTCTGGCAGGGCTGGCTTCTCACCACACTCCAGGGAAGGACGGCCGACCCAGACCAGCAATGGGAGCAGCGCAGTTCCTGCCACACCCCATTGGGGGCCTGGAGAAGGGACTGGGGTTCTCTTTCCTGGGGCTCGCCTGGCGGCATGTGAGCAGGGAGTGGCAGGGGAGACCCTGCCTGAGAAGGAGGACAGCGTCGGGCTGAGCAGAGCCAGGTGATGGGGAAAGAGACAAGATTCCCACGAACAGAGCCCCTCACAGGGAGGTGCTGGCAATCAGACCTGTACATGAAAGGAGCCGATAGTGCCGGTACAGCAGCTCCTTGGGTAGAGCACCGAAGGGGGTGGGATCCACTCTGGTCGGGCACATACAAGCATGAGCCAATGAACGCATAGAAGATGGAGCAACAAATCGATATTTCTCTCCCTAAAAATCAATAATAAAGCCCTGGCTGGTGTGGCTCAGTGCTGAGAGCGGCGACCCACGCACTAATCAGATTTGATTCCCCGTCGGGGAAGAGGATGTACCTGGATTGCAGGATCAATCCCAGACCTAGTAGGGGCCATGCAGGAGGCAACCAATCGA